CTGGGCCGATGCCAGCTTTTCCAGATGTCCTCAGACACCTCCACAATCTCCTCGTCTACGGGCAACATGATTCTGCCGTGGATGACAGGCGAATATTCTTTAGGAGATGGTGTTGTTTCTCCTTGACCTCCTGTAATTTTATTTCTTGGGTAGCAGCAACCCTTTTAAAAAGATCCTGAAACTGTTTCAGGTCCGCCACAGTATGCTTATTGTCAGGGACTATAACCTCCTCAGGAGCAAAAAGAGTTGCCTTGTGGTGACTGCACAAGGCAAGTGTCATCCTGATTGTCAAGAAATTGACTGTCCTCCTCTTCCGAGTCCGGTATGGTCCCCGGGGTATGGGATGGTGAGGCTGGCGGTAGCCTTTTCGGTGAGAGTGGTGGGCCAGCAGAGTGGTACTTAGGCAGTGCCCAGTGCAGCGGTTAATGTGGAGACAGTTAGTACCAGTTTGAATGCTACTGAGAATGGCACAGGCATGCTATATAGCAATGCCCTTGCTGAGATGTGGTGGAAGATGAATGCTGCTAGGAGGATGCGCTCTTCTGGTCATGGTTGATCACCCCTATGCACCTGTGCCCATAGTGTGGTGGTGTATGGTGGGTATGGTGCTGGGGACTGCTTCCTTGATGGGAGTGAGGAGGGTTATCTGTGCTCACACCCATTTTCCCTGAATTCCTTGTTGTTGCCAGCATTTCTTTAGACCCAGTCTGGTCTGTCTGCAAGCTGATATTAGCCTGCACAAGGGGAGGCATAAGAGAAATTGCACTGAGAGGCAGTGCCGAAGATTTCCGGGGCCATTTTGTGGCTGGCTCTGCTCCGTCCGTGGTGCTGCATGTGTAGGTACTTGCTTCGGTGCCGGGACTTGTCTGTGCGCTTTCCCCAGTACGGAGGATGAGCACATAGTTGTGCTGATGCTCAGTGCCGGAGCGGGTGCTTGAGGCAGTTGTCAGCACCACAGAGCTGGAGATGGCTGCCACATCTCCCCTGGTCATTCTGGGGGATGGATTAGGTGGTAGGGATCTGGTAGGTGAGACCCTGGCCCTCTGATGTCCCTGAGGCATCAGGGAGGCTGATCTGCATTTGGGAGGGTCTGCTATTTTATCTAATGAAAGCTCTCCCAATGGCTGTAAAGCCTTCTCCAGAAGGGACATATGGAACCTAAGCTCCCAATCTTTTCTTGCCCTGGCCGACAAGCTTTTACAGTGCTCACATTTTTGTGGGATGTGTGACTCCCCCAGACATCTAATACAGAAGCTATGGCCATCAGAAGCTGGGATGGATTAGTTACAGTTGATGCATTTTTTAAACCCCTGTGAACCAGGCATATTGGAAGCTATTGGTGCTCGGGGCTGAGGGAGAGTGGCTATTTCAACAGTCAGCAAACTTGTGTATGAAGGCTGCCGTTTTATGAGGTTTTGATTACCCCCCACCTTTCTTCTTTTTTTTTTAGCCGGTTGGGGCAGAGAAAAGCCACTGCCACGGAAGCAGCTAGCACTGAGGGAACAGCATGTTCCCCATGTTTTGGGGTTTTTTCCCTTTGAAGTGGGAAGAATATAACAAGACTAGCCAATTAGCCCGTCATAAGACGAGCTTTTCAGGTCTCTCCTCCATGTCGATCTTTTTTCCTGAGCCTCCAGTCTCTCACTCCGTGTCTCTTTCTCTCTATCCCCCTCTCTCTCTCAGTTCTCCTCCGCCTTCTGCCTCCCTCTCCTGCCTCTCACTCTCTCTCCGTTCTCCTCTGTCTCCATCGGGGATGCACGCTCATGCAGGCCCCGTCCCCTGGGCGTGTACATCACCACCCCACCCCCTTTCGCCTCCCGCCATGGTGCTCGGCTGACTTCTGCGCCACTCAGTTGGGCCACCACGCGGGAGCAAGTAACACAAGCGGCCCGCTTGG